CAATATAGAATAAATCAGAATCCAACAGGGAATATTTTGATTGAGTAAATAAAGTTTTTAGGATTTACTCCCTGCAGTTTTTGTAACAACATATTGAACAACTTGATCTAATTTACTGATGTAAGCACAAGATGATCAAGTGAGTTTTATGGTCATTTGTTTCTTAGACAAAAGCATTATTCCTTAGCAAATTCTGCTCTCTTTTCTAATTTAGAGCTGGCTCTTCTATAGAGAAACCTTTAAAAAAATCTCTGTAATGTTTGAATAAGGACCATGTTCATAATTATTTTTAAGCCATTTTTTTGTGTATTTTTATAGTAATGGTTTCAGTAAACCTGCAATGCTTGCAAAACCAATGTCTATCATTTGGGTGTTGTATATTAAATTATTTCTATTATATTCTAGAAAGTATTTTATATATCTAAAATGTACAATATGTTAAATTCTGTGGTCTAGCAATATATTTCCAGTGAGATATGATTTACACCTTTTACTTAGAAGAAATAAAATAAAAATCAAAGTATACAGTTCAACACCCAAAACTTGTCAGAGATAAACACATTTCATAGAAATGTCCAATATCTGTAATAAACTTTCATGGAAACCTAGAAAATACAGCACATATAACAAATGTTAGAAATGTTGAAATTATTATAAAGGAATGTCATGATTGAAATAACAAGAATGAAATCTATTCTTTCTTGTTGCACTCCCAAAAGTTATTCAGCACAATCAGTAATTGATAGGTAACTTGTATTACTACTTTTATTATGAAAGCAGAAATAAACCAATTATGGAGATCTGATTCTTTTTGCTTCACATCTCCAATTGTCATTTAATACAAAACAATTATAGTGCATCAATAAGATGAATAATTGAATAGATTTGGAAATTAGATTCTTCTTTGTGAGAAAACTACTTCCAAATTTTACACAATAAATAATTAAATACTTCTATTTACATATATATGAGAGATAGAGAGTTTCCTCCCTTCTCTCTTGTTCAATAGAATGTGCTGATTATTAATGCTGTGTAAGTTATAATTGAATAAGGTATCAAGAGTTGCTCAATGTTTTATATCTAGGAAAACTGAATTTCAAATCTTTCACAAGGTGTACAGAATCTGTTAAGAAGCAATTCAGTAATTTCAAAAGCTAAATGCATATTTGAAATGTGACAAAGAACTACTTTAAAACAAACAAAAAAACAAAACAACAACAAAAAAAACAAAAAAAAACATACAAAACAATTTGCATTAAAATGACCAAATTCATTTTTTTGTAGTAACTAAATAATTGATTATTGTTATAGAAGTTTCAAAATCTAACAACTTTTATCATATCATTCAAATAAGTTAAATTTATGATACAACAAACATTGAATTGTTTTGACAGGATTGATAGAATATTTTTTTAAGAAAGTAACATTCATGAAATACCAGTGAATGCAAACATTAAGGAAAAAAACACCAACATGGACTGATTCGCATTTTTTTCTTTTTTTTAATAATTATTATTTTTTAAAAATTTTCAATTAACTCATAAAAAAGGGAAAATTAGACACTGATCATTTATCAAACCAATAAAACAAAGCTGGCAACTACAGAGTTCAAGTATATGGTTAAGAAATTAAATTTCTAAACTATATCAACAGCTGCAAAATTCAGAATAAAATGCTGTGAAAGATTCATGTTTCAACGATCAGAATTTGATGCTAAGTTTATGTGAATAGAAGATATTGTTAAATGTGGTCATCCTCAGAAATAAGTTGACAACCTTCCTATAACAATGACAGAGTTATAATAAATCATTAAGCCTCACATGGTGTCAGGTAAAAGGCAAATAAGAAAGAGATGACAACCTTCAGACAAAAAATAAACAAAAGCAAGAAGTGTAATGGAAAGATAAGGATATATAAAACTTGTGTAGACAGCTACATGTAAGCAATAAGTCTTAACAAATTGGCTGAAAATTGCAAGTTATTGTTAGATAATGTTTTCCATAGTAAAAGGCAAAGATTTTTTTCTTTTTTAAATAGTCAATATGCCCTATACACTAAAATGGCTTCAATATCAGATACATGGCTGTATAAACACAGACCTACATAATCATGTTACACACTTTCAATTGTCCCAGCCTGTTTTAACAGTCATACTTGACCAGTGAAGCAAATTATGTACCATAAGATGTTGAATTCAAACAAAACACCTGACAGATTAAAAAGATCTTTCATGTGAATAAGCGATACATTAAGGCTATTCTTTACATAATAGTGTTCTTTTGCAAACTTGTTAGATTCTAGTTTGTGTCATGTTCCTCTTCATATTTAGGTGTTTTACTATATATGGACATAGAAATCTGCCACAGAAAACAAAAACAAACTAGGAATATATATTTCCCTTTTGAATGAATTCATTGAAAGCCTGTCTTTTTTTATTGAAAATAATTTAAGAAGCTCAATAAAAGTTTAAACTGCTTTAATGAGAATAATTATAAAAAATTTAAAACTATTTACAATTAAAAGATCAATTTGCATTTTTACTATTGTTTTAGGCATTAACTTAAATAAGAAAAGGAAATCTATTGTGTTGAGAATAAAAACGTGTATATCAAATTTCCATTAATTATAAATTTTTTTCACATATTTAAGTAATTTGCCTCCATGCATGACAAGATTAAGTGATTAAATAAACACTTAAGTTAGCAAGCAATTACTGGTCACTTAAAGAGATTCATTTTTCTATGAAATTTGGCTGTGGGTTACAGGTAACAAAAATTAAGCAGCAGCAAACATAAGTATGATTTTCAGTATGATTAACCTTACAATTGCAAGAAAAATATCTTAGAAAATACTGAGATGTAAAATCCTCAGTGAATATATTCATTCTACAGAATCTTAAATTATTTACAAAAAATAAAATAATGAATTGTAATTCAAAGTAAAGATATCTTTAAGTTTGATTTTTAACACATTGAACAATCTTTCAGTTCACAATTGTATTGTAAAATGAACCAAATGTTTTGTTAAAAGAATATGAATTTTCTATCAGAAAGTAATATTTTTATAATTATTTTTAATGGCTGGGGATAGATTAAAAAAAAAAAATCAAACTATATTATGTGTATATAGAATAGAGATCTGAAAGTTGAAAACAAAAAGTTGACAAGTTATCTGCCAATAAAACAATTCCATTACAAAATATTACCGTGCCTTTTGAATATATTAAAGAATACATTTAATGCATTCTTTAATAGAATGTGATTTTTAAAATAGGGAAGAGTTTTTGGTTAAATTTTATGTCATTATTTACCTTTAGTAAAAGAGATGGAAATATAACTAGGTTAGATTTGAAAAATATATGATATGCAAATTTTAGGGGTTGTCATTCATAAATATACACCATAATTACCAGTGAGCAAAAATAGATAACCTCAAAATTCAGCTTCAAGAAAAAGTAACAAGTAATTGTTGAGTTAAATAAACTGTTAGAGAAAGAATTATTTTCATTGGCAAACCATTTCTATAAATTTAATTACACTTTTTGAACATAAAAACATACATTAATCATCATTTATTAAATAAATGGTATTTGTTCCAAGACAGTAATGTCACTTAAAATATCTTTTTGATATCACATCAGTAGGGTACAATAAGATGTGAACAGTTCAAATTTGAAAAATATATCACTATCAAAAGTTAAATATAGGGTAATATCTTAAAAAGTTTAAAGATTAATGTTTGAAAAATAAGTTAAATTATAAATTTTATCAAAATTAGATACATTAAAAAAACAGCATAAATAATGTCAATATTTGTTATTTTTCAGCAAATTCATTAAATGTGAATTAGAAATGATTTTAATGGTCACCATATTTTAATAAATAAAAACAAAGGAATATGATTGTGATTAAACAATGTGATTTATAAACATATATATGGTTGTTATGGCTCTAGGTCAACTGCCCAACGGATAGCCGATTGATAAAGACATTTACCCGATGGAAAAATGCCTAATGTTTATTTATATGTAGAATATTTAGATATTTTTGCTGTTATTCAAAAGGAAATTTATAGATAATAGCTAACCATTCCACCCCACCCGCTTCTCATGGAGATAAAGATCTTGCCCCAAACTGAAACTTACTATTTGTTGGATACAAAATATTTTTGAGAATAAAAAATTATGTCATGAGTCTGCAAGAGTTGGTTTGTTTAATATAAAATTATTATTATTATTAGTTTCATTATTGCTTTCTTAATCAATATTTAAGATTATTATTACTATTTGCATTATTTATATTATTGTTAATATTATTATTATGACAGGAACATTATTATTATTATTATTATTGTAAAAACAAAAAAAAAACAGCAAAATCATAAAGAATATATCAAAAGTTTAAAGCTATTGAAACTTACTTTTTAGTATAATAAACAATTGCCAGTGAAGATCAGAAGTGAAGAATCAAAATTTCTTTCACTTCAAAAAATTGGTTGTATCTTTTAATGTGTAACACAAGGAAAACTTGCACTGAAATTATACTATGATACTTTCCCTTTTGAATGACAGCAAAAATATCTAAATAGTCTATATATATATATATATATATATATATATATATATATAAAAACATCGGGCATTTTTCCATCGGGCAACTGTCCTTATTAGGCAGTGATTTGTCGGGCAGTTGTCTATTGGGCACTTGGCCGTCAAGCAGTTGTCTGGATACCAGTCATTAAATGTTATTTATCTTGCTTTTTATATAAAGGAGTAAAAAGAAATAGAACAAGAATGCTGTCAAATACAAGAAAAATCTGACATCTCCCTCACAATTTCATTCTATCAACTTCAGAATTACTCAAAAAAGAAAAACTAACAGAGACTAGCATTTCATACTCAGAGCAAGAAATGACAAAGTTTAAAAATGACATTCACAGAGATTCAACCAAATGCTGTATTAAGATTGATTCATTTAAATTGGTATCATATGAAAACTTACCGTTTCTCTATGTGGAAGCAGTTCTTTTCGGATCTTGAAGAAATTTTTACCATACTGGCGTAAACCTTTGATAAAACGTTTCTGGAAGAAAAAGATAAAAATCATGAAATTTTCATTATTTGGATTAAATTTAAAATGAAATATCATTGACAAAAATAGTTTTTTTTATTTTTTACCTTGTACTCTGCACCAATGTAAAATAACACAGCAATAAATAAACAACTTTGAGATCATGTGTACCAACCACATGTTGAATTCGGGAGAGATAGTAATTTTAAAATTCCAACAATTAGTTCTATAACATCTTTTAGACAAAGTGAGAGAAATGCAGCCATTAGCTCATACATTTGAACCATTAAAGACAATATCCATTTATTATAAAAGGTAAAATGTATTGTTTTTAAGTAATAAGTTTATTTATAATAAATTTCCAGCAATGTTTAAAAAATAAAACTGTTTTAAACAATGATTATTCCCTTGACGCCACTATTACTATATACACTCTCTTTCATTTATTGCTTATTTACAATATTATAACAATATGTGAACCAATTAAAATGCAATACTTTTTTACCTTTTATAAAGATTCATTATTTACCATTTTATAAATAAATAAATTTGAAAATAATTTTTTTTTTATTCAATTTTATAAATAACTATGAAAACATTTTTTATTCAATCTAATGTTTATTTAATGAAAATGTATTAATGAAACATGCATCAATGAAAAAATGCTGCCTAAATATACACACACATATTATATATATATATATATATATATATAAAATAGAACTTTGTAATTTGTGTCATTGTTATAAAATTGTAGATGTGGCAAAAATCACTGTTGGCTGACTTTGAGAAAGAATGTAATGAGCTGGACTAGCCTTTGTTCCTTGAAGCAATCCAGCTTCATTCTAAATGCCAGTGCAGTTAAAGGAAGAATTTCAGTGGTAGAAGCCAATAAAATTTCTATACTGACAACTATTTTCTAAGTCAGTATAAGTAGTGCAACGACCAAAAGGAATGAAAAAAAAGAAAAAAAAACCAAAAAAAAAAAAACCAGTATTATAACCAGTGGCATAATAATTGTAGTAAAAAGGCTGATAAATGGAATTCTAATTGACTTAGCCTATTTAAAAGATCAGGAGGGAAAAAGATTTACAAGGGAAAACAAGAAGATGTAGCAATTAGAAGCATGAGCAATGAAATAGAAAAAAAAAAAAAAAAATGGACAAGACTGTCACCTTAGCCGATTCATGAAAAAGTAATATAAGTAGTATTGCATGAATCAATTATCTATGATAGTAGGCACTGGTTGGTACAAGATCAGTACTCTCTAATATGCTGCCCTTGGTAAGGGCATATTTCAACTGAATAATTGGTTATTTCAGGTGATAGGGAAGTTTTGCATTTGGAAAACATTACAGAGGAAAACAAAAGGTAACAAAAAGTTAGCAGTAATTTTTCTTACCACTATCAAAATCAGTTGAATCTGTACATGCACACAAATTAATTACATTATGATCTCACCTTACATGAACTCACCAACCATAATTTCACTTATTGGTGTTGGCCCAATTAGCAAAACTTTCACATTCAAAACTTTTCTTAAAAACTAACTGCTTTACAAAATATATTCCAAAGGACAAAAATAAAAAAAAAGACAATTTTTTAAATAATATTTTGAAAATATTAAAATGATTCAATTTAAACGTTCTCAATGCAATCAGAATCTGAGTCATCAGATCATGTATGAAGGGAAATTAATAAAATCATTGACTAGTGAAATGTTTTTGACTATTACTAAACTATTTTTTAGTCCACTATATTTCTAATAGTGATAGGGGTAATTGAATTCCCTTGTCAACAAATGTGCTTCACCATCCTGTAACCTATCTACCCTGGTTGATGAGGTCATACTGTACAAGTATTTAGCCAACAAAGTGAAGAGAGGCACATAGATATGTTTTGAAATATGTAGAACTCATAGTGGAATACTTCAGTGAATATCAAGTGAAAAGCAACTGAATGTATTATACTACTTCACTTTAAAGATGAAGACACAAGCTTGTAGAAATTTAAAAATATATACAACAAAATCAGATTAAAAGGAAAAAAAGAGGTTGATAATCTTTTTCTTTTGAATTGTATGAATTAATACCAACAGTAACATTAGATTTTAAAATGTTACCAGATAAGTGAAAACGTAGAATAGTCATTTCATGATCACACTTAATGCATTATGAGTGCCATTATTATGAAAGTAAAAGCAAGAAATTGTTTTAAAGTTTCTATGAAAATGACAAGAACAATCAAAACAGTGTTGACATCTACAAGGAATGAAAATTAAGTATAAATCTATTGCATTTGTAATCAGAATAAACTTGCAAATGTGGAAAACCAAAAAGAAATACAACAGAAGAGAAAGTAGAGATGTTGAAGTGAGATAAGAGATTGAAGCAGACGAGATCTTCAATTTTATTTCCTTTGTAATCTAATCCAAATTATTAGAAAGACATTTTTTAAAATTCTTTAGTTTTTCAAGTTTATAGACCCCCCCCCCCAAAGTTTCTTTCAGAAAAATGTAGTGATAGTTACTGCTTACTAGTCTTTGTACATACAAAGTGAAAACAAAATCTTTCCTGACACCTTTAAATAAAGATGGTCAAATAACAGAAGATGCTGCTTTTGCCACATAAGCAATATAAAGGATTATGCAGTTTTTGCACTGGTACAAGTTTAATTTCCATTCTGATTATTAATAAAAAATAAAAAAAAAAAAAAGATAAAAAGGTCAGCAATAAACAATTAAAGACTATATAAAAAAAAAATTAAACAAAATTTTTTTCATTATTTCTATTGAGTTTTTGTCAGAGTTTACACAATAGGAATTTTTTTTTTTTTTTAAACAAGGACATCTTTTTAAATTAATTATTTTATTTTTTAAATGTTATGTAACAGTTCAGATTACACATTCAATTTGACTATGGAGTCCCCACCCCCTTTCTTTATTCGTAGTTGAAGTGCCACCTGTAGGGAAAGATTTTAAGCTAGTTTTTACTGATAGCCTAAATGGGATTTTTGGAACAAAAAAAAAAAAAAAATAAAGAGTTTAAACTATTTATTGAATCACTTTATTTGAAAATTATAACTATTATGAACCTATCATGGATCACATTTAATTTAAATATGAGGTCGGATCAAAAAGTATCAGGATTGGTGTTATAAAAAGAAAATATACAATACATCAATTCAGCAATTAATCTTTTTTGAAGTAGTCACCCTTCAGACACTTTATCCAGTATAATTTCCATTGACAGGAACATTTCTGGAACTCCTTTTTTTGGGATAATGTGCAGCTAGCTCATCGCATTCTCTTGGATTGCCCAGACATCTTGAAATCTTGTTTCTTTCAAGTGGGATTTGATTTTTGAAGAGGAAAAAAAAAAAAAAAAAAAAACACGCAATAGGAGAGATCTGGGGGAATATGGTGATTGTCAGAACAGCCAAAAACTGCTGGTCACTGATAGAACCTGTGGTGTGGTGAGATGATCACACTCTACACACTTTCCTTCCAAATATTGCTATAAACAACGGGAGTGAGTAAAAATGTTTTAACAGTGTGTATATGGGACAGAGTTCAAGGTCAGCATGCCAAATGGTGTCACTCTGCGTACTTTAGCTGTTACCATAGCAACAATCCCAATACTTTTTGATTGGATCTCGTATATTTTTCCATAAAGATTTTAATTACCCATATTCTTACTGTAAATTTATTCATTTCAACTTATATTTTATCAATAAACACTACATTATGTGTAAGGACATATAAGTTAATAATTGTCATTGAGAGGTTAATTTTTAAGTTTTGATTTTATGGTTAAAAAACCATTTGTTTTATGTTAGTAAATTTTCTGCCTGATGTCTACTTTATATAGGTAAACAAAAGATATTTGATTTAGCTAACCTAGTGAACACAAAATTTAGCATTATACTTACATTGTAAATTGAACCACTTTGTCAAAACTTATCGGAATTTTTCAAAAACTAATATATACAAAAAACATGCTCCCAGGTTTCATTAATAACCATAGAAAATTTGGTTGTTGTACCCCCTTAAGTTATGTCAGACAAGACAGAAATGCGAAAAGGACATTGGCTGAAATATCATAAGATATGCAGAAATTTGCAACAGTAACCCATTAGACAAATTTAAATAATTGTGCGATTATGATTAATAAAACATTTTAAACATTTATATGAAAATTTCAGAAGCTAGTGCCAAGAAAATAGAAATCAATATAAACCACTATTTTTAATTTTGTTACCCAGTTACTTTTTTACTTCCAGTCAAGAAATGGACTATAAAAATTATGGAAAAAATAAAAATGGCTTTGTTAATTTTGGACATCTGCTGAAAAAATACATTTAAATCTTGTAAATTTAGAAAAACTTTCATAAATGTGAAGGTTGTTTCCAGGAAAAAGTAAAAAAGTAAAAAAGAAAAAAAAAAGAAAAAAAAAAAAAGAGATATTTAGATGGTTAAGTAAAAGAGAAACGAAGAACTTCAATAAATTTCTTCAAAGCACTTGTTTTAGTACAGTAGCCGAAAACTGCGAAATATTAAAATAAAAATAAATTCCATTCATTGATCAAACTGGAGCCTAGTCAAAACAGTACTGGACCAATTTTGAACAATGCTAGCTATTTAATGAATTACCATATTTTGAGAACACTCTAAAAATTTAACAGAACAATATGGTTCCAGTAAATATTGAAGACTAATCAAAAGTATCTTGACAAAATACATAGGAAAAAGTTTATATGATTACTAGAATGATGATGAAAACAAAAAAATATTAACAGCCAATATTTAAAATTTTATTGTCAAAATTACTGCGACAATGAAAGATTATAGAAAAAAATTATCACCTGTAAAGACAAAAATTTTTTTTTCTTTTTCAATGTAATTAAATCTCTCTCTCTCTATATATATATATATATATATATATATATATATATATATATAAACATGAAAAAAAATTTACGAAAAATAATTTTTTAATCCTTTAAAATTCTTAATTATGACTTTCTTTTAAGCTGATTTAATATATTTCATTTCATAAATAATGATTAAATATTGAAATTATAAGAATTTTATATAACGAAATTATATTTGCAGAGACATTCTTATCAAAATCAACTGGATTAGCAATTGTTTTTTAAAACTTATGGACTTCATTCTATACAGATTTTACTAATGCAGTATCAACCATTCAAACCAAGATTACATTATTGCATAACAGTTCCCAGATTCTATAATATACTAAACAACAAAAATAATGCTAAGATCTTTAAAAATAATACCTACATAAATAAATTTTACCAAAGTAAATAACTAATAGCAAGTGTTGGTAATTTAACTAAAAAACAAAACATAAGTACATTAAAAAGCAAACAAGTTTTATATTGAGAAGTATTTTTTTGTTCAATTATAACTGTTTCAGTTGATAATACAATTAATCAATCAGTATATAATATCTATCAAGGGAAACAACTCATTTGCAACTGATATAATAAAATTTATAAATAATGAAGCAGATAAAACATTTCTTTGCAATATAAACTATACAAAATGAATAAAAAATGTAAATGTTTCAAAATAATTCATTATAATCAATAAATCACTTCTAAATTTATATTTTATATAAAACATCAGAAAGTAAGGTACATTTTCATTGTAAAAATGTACAATTTTAAGATACAGAATTAAATACAAGACTTTTGTATCAGTAAATATTAAGACAATACTGACAAATATTAAATTTATTTATTTATTTTTTGCATATTAATATCTAAAGAAGTCAGTTCAACATCAAAATCTTTATTTTTATGAATAAAAATAAAAATATCAATCTGTATATTAGAATATATTTACAATAAATACATCAAGAACAGTATGGGGAGGTGCTGAAAAGTTCTCAGCCTGATTCACTTCCTAGTATCCCTTGTAAATCTGTCTCTAAAATTTTTCAGAATTAGTAATAGTATTTATAAAAGAATTTCATTTGATTGAAAAAATAAAAAATAAATTTTTTTATTTGGGGGGGGGGTAGTTATTGACATTTAATAGAAGTAAAAAGTAGAAAACTTTTACCGTTTCATCATCTGTCCATTTCTTCTCAATTCCACGAGGTACTGGGCACTTGACAAGAGCTTGCAGTGCCTTCCCAGTGTCATAATGGTAGAAATGAAGCTAAAATATAATATCAAATTAATCAATTAGAATCACATAGTTATAAAGAAAAATATTAATTCATTTTATATAAATTACTAGAAGAGTAGAGAATAACTGAGTTTTACAAAATCAATAATAACTGGAGTAGGAATAAATGGGGAGCCATAAATGTTTCAGTTTTCTCTTCATTATAGCAAGTTAATTCATTAAATTTAAAAAATTAAATTCTACTATTATTACTTGTTGTTGTTGTAATCTTAATAATAATGATGATAATATCAATATCAAAATTGATCACCACTCCACAACAATGTGATAAAAACTAATTTCAAGTAAAGGTAAAAAAAAAACTACAAGATATTAAAAAATATCAAATCCTGGTATAAATTACTTAGATCAACCCTTTAAATAAAAATTTTATTTTTCTGAAAACATAGAATATACAAAAATACATTAAGTCAATGGCAAAACTTTCTATAATTTTTGTCACTCAAAAAGCAGATCACTAACAGCAAGTAATCATAAGAAAGAATAATGTAAGTTGTTACATAAGCTGAAACTGATTAAAAAATTCTGGATAAAAGAAGTGGAAAAAAAAACCCCGTAATGAAAACAGACTAGCTACATGAAAATTTCAAACAAGTAAAAAGATATTCAACAAATAAATTTGAATCCCACTTCATTATTTCATAATCATCTTATAGCACTAAGGGATGGGACACAGCAAACATTCATTTGCAGTGAAGATAAATATAAATACAAGCAATCAGTATATTCCTTAAAAGTAGATCTGGAAAGAAAAACTGCTTCCTACTGTATTGGAGCCAGTGGACATGGAAATTGATGAACCATAAACATTGAGAGTTTTCTCCCTTCTATCAGAAAAAGGTGGGGGGGAGGGGAAGAGAGTCAAGGGTTGATTGATTATATGATGAGTGATTAGGAAGTGGCGGGGGAAAAGGAGGCGGGGTATACATTTTGGCTGCCAGAAAGAAAATAATGATTTGTTCAAATCCAAAGTTAGGATTCATTTTTTCTAATGATCGAACATAGGAAATAGATTTACAATAATGTAAAATATTTTAAAAAAATAAATAAAAAAATAATCAACTGTAAAAAATAATGACTAAAATAAAAAAAACTATTTTTACCAAAATAATTTGTAAAGGGATGTAATTCTAATTGCATTTTCAATCAAATTGAAGAGCTGATATCAGTTTCTTTTTAGCAAAGTGAATACAGATTTTAATGCAAAAAAACATATATACAGACACACACACACACACACACACACACACACACACACACAACAACTATTTCTTATATTTTGGAGAGAGGGAAGGAGATAGAAGGAAATAATTCTTGCTACCTGACCCCAGTAGGAAAGTGACAAATTTCTGTACTGGTTGAATAGCAAATGCTGATAAATGTCGAGAGAAGTAGAGTAATTCATTTTTGTGCAAGGTGGAAGTGAGATGAAAGAAAAATCCCATACAGGATAGAGAAAGAATGAAGATAGATGTTGTGAAAATATGTAACAAATAAATAGATGACAAGATAAAACACCAATTAATATAAACAATTGGATGAAAACAATAATAAAAAGAGGAATAAAATGCAAGTGTAATAAGGCCAAATTTTACACAATTTATGGCATTAGCAGCAATAATTGTCAAAGAAAGAAGTAAATAAAGAAAATACTCCATTATAGACATTTCCAGGCTAATTTGAATCAAGACATCCATTATTAACCATTAGCATAGATCTATTTCACCATTCAAACCAAAACCATTATTACTTTATTAAAGTTAAACTCCCAATATACAAGCAAAATAACATTGAAAAAGAAATAAAATAAAAGTAGCTGCATTCCAAAAATTATTTTTTTTTTTTTTACAGCCAATCTGGAAAGAATCTTTGGAAAAAACAAAAAACAAATACAAAACATTCAAATGTTGAAATAAATCAATTAATTTTTAAAACAACAAGTAAGACAGAAGAAAAGGGTTTTTCTTTGATATTCAAAAAACAGGAAATTTTTATTTCTCTGTTTATTAACAGTGTTTTATATCAGATCTTATTTGTAATAATTATTTGGTTGAGTAGAAGCAGAAGTTGAAGTTTGTGTAATCCTGATATCTTATCTACAAAATTTGAACTTTTAGTTTTGTAACTTAAAAAACGTGAAAAAAAAAAAAAAAAAAAAAAAAATTTTTTTTTTTGTATGCTTTTCCATTTCTTGCTTGATGTTTCATCTTGAAGTCATCCCGTTCTATTTTACAACTAAGATAAGCTCATTTTTGCCCCTTTTGTGCCTCTCCATCCAAACTGTCACCTTATGAGAGCAACTTAAATGTAGAAGATATCTTTATAGTAAAGATGCCTGGAATTGTCAAGTTGATGATCATGATGTAAAGTGAAACAAGATTCACTCCTAAAATTTTATTTCTTATTCAATTTAACAATTTTTCAACTTTTAAATGAAAAGTGGAATAATAAGGAAGTTTCAATTGAAAAATTCTCAACAAAAATTGAATTTTCCAATTTCAGAATCAGTTTTCTTTTCTGTAAGAAGTGATAACATAAAAAAAACCCCACCCCAAATGTATTTAAAAAAAAAAAAAAAAAAAAAAAAAAAAAAAAAGAAAAGAAAAGATTACTGGCAAGTTAAAACAAATATTTAACCTATTTTATATAAACAATTAGAGCATTCTAAACAAAATCACTAAGACATTAAAACCTATTTACATTATTCGGACTATTGTCCTCATTTTTGTTGCCATATTTATCGCAATGTTTCAGCCATTGTATGCTCCAGCCTTCTTCAGGTGGTTGGAATGTTGAACTGAACCCTTTATTTCGCTCACTAGAGTAGACTGTTCTAGTTCCATGTGCCATGTCTAATGGGTATCAGTTATTAGGGACACATGGCAGAGTGGATAAAGGTGTTAGTTTGATCCAGTGACAGGACCCAAAGAGTGTGAGTTCAATACCTGTTTAAGGCGGTGGAGAACTTGGAGGGAAGAATTAACAGGAGATAACTGACATCCATTAGACATGGCACGTGGAACTAGAACGGTCTACCCCAGTGAGCGAAATAAAGGGTTCAGTTCGACATTCCAACCACCTGAAGAAGGCTGGAGCGTACAACGGCCAAAATGTAATAAATATGGCGACAAAGATGAGGACAATAGTCCAAATAATGTAAACAGTGTACATAATACCTCATCTCAGAAATATAGACAGGCATTAAACCTATTTAAAATAATCTGAGCAAGTTGTATAAAGTAAATACAAAGTACCTAAAAGGCATTAAGATATATATATTTTTTTTTTTAAAGAAGTTCTTTGTTTAACCAGTTTCCTGCAAAATATTTTTATGGTATCTCATTTATGGCACAAGAACAGGTTAAAGATTAGAGAATGTTGAAATAGTAAATGATAAATAACTTATACAAATTTTAAATGCTTAACCTGATACTCATTTACACAATGGCTTCTTCATTTAGCAACTGTTTTTGATGAAGCTGTTAAGACCTTTTGTGAATTAAAATGGAAATGTTTCCTGAAATAATTAAAATGATGATGGTATTTGAAATGCAAATTTCAAGTAGAATGTTAAAACATTCTTATAAATTTTTAGAAGACAATGAAACTTTTCATAACTTCAACATCATACCATGTTAATAAAATAAAGTTACTCTTCGTCATAAAAAAACAAATGGGCTCTTTTAAATAACATTGAGGTACAAAGTGTGACTACGATAAGCTTGGCATTCAGTATAATTATTATAAGTGATATTACAAATACAGATTCAGTAAGATGATTAAAAGTAATTTGATATTAACCCTTTGTGATCTTGACTTCTGCACAAAAGAATTTTTTTTAAATGTATTAAATGAGACCTTTAATAAGCACTACTTCATTTTAGATAGAATATTTATATCCAATGTCTTTCAAATGCAATGTCAATTGTTATCTTCTGTCTTCTTAAGTCCTGTTCTTTTATTGTTCTCTCTCCTTTCTTTTCTCATATTCTCTAACACTCAATAATCACTTGCATCTCTATTCTTTATAAAGAATAAAGTGACTTTATTCCCATACTTGAGATCAAATGATTGAAAAAAAAAAAAAAAAAAAAAAAAAAGATTTATTGAACACAAAATTTTTCACAGTATTATAATGTAACAACTAAGAATATTTAGAGAAATTATTAACTGGTATTATTAACAGATATGTTCCATTAGGATCCAAAGGGTTAAATGAAGAACTAAAAGACAAAGTATCACTTAAAAACTGGTCAAAGCAATCTTATTTCTTTTGGGAATGAAAGAAAGGAAAGAATAGATAGATAGAACAAGAGTGACAAAGAAATAATATACAATGCAAAAACGCTTTTATTAGGTTAAAAAAAAAAGAAAAAAAAAAGAAAAAAGAAGAAGGATTGAATTAAAAAAGTAAAATTAAATTTCATAATCTTCCATTAAAGACACTATTTTCTCATCAGTATTTTTTTTTTTAGAATGCTATTGCTTAGGTGTTATGCACTACCAGCTTTCTGGTTCTTAGAGCTGGACCTAATCAGCCTCAATGCCAATAAAAAGGAGACATAAGCATGTTGAGTATTCACATGAAAACAAAGCATGCAGAGAGTGGAATCGAGGTATGTAGAGAGCACTCACCGTGTCCATGGCATTTATGGTTGTCTCATCCATTGATGCAGCCTGACAGCCGTCATCTGTAGAGCCAGCATCGCACATTCCAGCGAAAGCTGCCACACTCCTAAAGAAAGGGAAGGGAAAAAAAGATGGACAGTATTAGCAAAAGAATTAAAAGCAAAGAAAGACAAGAATTGGAAGAGAGAGAAAAAAAAAACCTTTCGATCAGAACTAAAAGAGAAAAGCTTTGAAATGTTCCACCCTGAATGCACAATAATGGAAAGAATGGAGTTTTCTCATTATCAACGTCTTTGCAGCCATCAAAATGGTTTTTAGATTTCCCCTTCCCCACAAGCTTTCACTCCCACTCAAGCAAAACATGTCACAGTGTTTGTACACATATATCTGAAAATAAACACCTTTCTACACACACACACATACACACAGATTTAGACCTCCCATAAAAATTATATACACATATGGGGAGTTGACTAATGACAAAAAAAAAAAAAAAAAAAAAAAAAAATCAAAAAAAATCTTGAATTTATAGTCAAGCAGTTTTAACCTCATTTATAAATCAAAAGAGTTTATTGATAACAATGCTTCAATAATTTTGAGTATGTGAGCATAAAAATAATATTCTAGATCATTTAACCAGAGTAGAGTATAGGTTATTCCATCAGGAGACAAGAAAATGAAAAAAAAAAAAATTCAATTATTTGCAGTTCTTCATTTTTGCAAGCAGAATAAGAAAATAAATTTTTCAATCTGGGCTCTTTAAATGTTAGCCATTCTGTAAGCATAAAAAAATGCTATATATAGAAAAAGTATTTACTCTATAAATGAACTAAATTTAATAAATAGAAAAAGTTAACTGCCTCTGAACCATTAAAATCAACTGTTAAACAAATACAGCACATCAAACCCATGTTGGCTGTTTCCTTCTTATTGGATCACAAAACCATTGTCAGGTCTATTATTGTATTTGGAAGATTATTTTTAGTTACTACTAGAGAGAGAGAAAAAAAAAGCTCCACTTTGGTATATATTCAATTCCTTAACCATTCTAATCTTTAGAGCCAAGTATTTCCATGCAAAAAATCAGAAAATATTGTGATTTAATCAAACATTAAAAAGTTTAAATATTTCAAATAATAGAGAATCATTCACTAGATCATCGTCAGCCATTATTCACTATTTATTACTGCCAACTTATTTTTTCTGTTGATTTGAATAGAGCAATTTTATTGCTTTATATGCATTCAGAGAGTAGACATAAAAAAAACATTCAATATGAGTTGACCAAATGAAGTGGACCATAAGAATTTAAACATGCTGAATTCATTTTCTTTGCTCCTCATAATGAATTTAAATTACTAGCAACGTACATTGTACTATCTCACTAGTTTTTTTTAAGAAAAAAATCTCATTTAAATATTCCATAAATAAGAGAAACTAATGTCTAGAGTTCATATTTCACTGTAAGCATGAGGTAGCAAACAAAAACTAATGAGTGAATGATACAAGTAGAATTCTGATATAATTAAGAGAATACAAAAATATAAATTCTAAAAGAAAAAAATGTTATATTAGAAATAAATCAATAAAATTTAACTTTGAGATCAAATATTTTTCCTTTTACACAGAGAAAAAAGTTTGTAATAAAAAGACAACTTAAAAAATAAGACATTGAAATTCTCTGCCTTGTACTCAGAAAACGGAAAATATCTAGAAAAAAATGCAAAACATTACTTTATATTCCTAAGAAAGAACACACATTTTTATATATTTTTTTTAAATTTTGTTCTTCAAGAGTAAAATGTGGTAAGTTAACAGACCATTAAACTGTAATTATATTTTTAATTAAAAATAAAAAAAGCATCATGTATTGCAACTGTCAAATGACATTTGACATATAGGGATGAGCAAGTAATCTTTGAAAATTTAACACATCTACAACAGATATTATATAAATAAAATCTGATTCTTCATTTCTTGCAAGTGAAAATTCAAATTTTCAACAGAAAATCTACATAAAGAAATGATTTCATTAAAAAAAAAAACAACAAAAAACACTCAAAACAAAATCTGAGTAAATGCAATTGACTTATTTTTAAATAACAGGTTTTAAGATTTAATATATATGAGAGAGAAGAAAAAAACTCTTGAGATGGCTGATAAATTTCATTGAAGAAATACAAGATGCTTAAAAAGATTTGGAAGAGAAGAAATAAGACAAGGGAATAGGCAGAAAAGATCACCTTCTTGAATTAAAAAAAATTAAAATGTTACATTGGAACAGAGTTTATAAAACTGGATAGAAAAATGGAGGAAAATATCTGAAAACTATTGATGCTATAAAATATACATATTAATGAATTCTCAAAAAATATTTTCATCAGTCAATTTTGGAGAAAAAATATGAAAGTAGCTTCAATGGAGCACATTTATTTATCATCAAAATCTTTAGAATTAAAGAGGGTTGAATAATTGTAAGATTCTGACATGTTTATTCAAATCATAGATATTCATTCTAAGAGCAAGGAAAGTGGAATCGAAATAATAGCAGTGGTAGGAGGAAAGAAACCAGGAATCAAAAGCATACTACAATAAGTCAATGAACAGCAAATAATTTGAAAACTTATTTAAAATCAGCACCCTCACCCACCCTACCAAAGTAACATGTTGTAAACTAATAAATTAAGAAATATTAATAAATAATAAAAATTAACAGAGATAAGATTGCTATTCAATGCAAAAGGAGCATAGATTATTTGCTGTCATTTATTCCATTGTAGACTGTATGATCTCCAATTTTATTTACAGAACTTATTCCCCAAAACATTAAAAATGCATAAGAAAATAAAATCAAATTAAAACAAAACAATCTGAGTAGAAATAAATTTACTAGACTACAAAAGCAGGAAAAAGAAGTGTATAGAGGAATGGAATAGGGCAGTAAGCATACAAAAGATAAACAAGGGGAAAAAAAATATCAAGAGTTAAGAACCAAATGGCAGGTAAGAGTGAAGATGAGAAGGTAAAGATAACTGAATACAGTTGGGTATACAAGACAAAAACTAGTGAGTCTGTTAATCAGATTTAAAAGATCTATTCAATTATCTTGAATAAACACTCGGTTCTGGGATCATTTCTCTTTTGTTGGCCAGTAACTAAGAAATAATAAAATGATATAGAAGGAAAACCTTTAAGAAGAATTTGCTACACAGAATCATTATTACAGGAAGGAAGGAGGTGAAAAAGAGAAGAGGCAAAATTTCAAAGTACCAAGAACTTTAGATAATTTGAACAAGAAAAATTCTGATATCAGTTGAGCTTTGATTCTTAACCACATTCTTTTTTTAAATAATCTGGAAAAATATGGACCATTTCCTTTCATAAAAGATAAATTTAAAATCTTTATAATTGCTATATTAACTATCAGTGTATTCAAGTAAGAATACTTGAATATACTGATAGTTAATATAGCAAAATATAATATGAAAAAGTAAAAATAAATTTTAAAAACAATTTTAGGCACCTGATTAATGAGAGCACGTCTAAAACTCTGCACAAAGGTGTTCCAAAGTATTGAATGTAAAGTGAAAATTAATGGTAATCACAATATTTTAGGAGTCTTTTTCTCACAAAATTATATTAAAGAAGCTGTTTTCAAAATAATTATTTCAAATTAACAATTCTAAGAAAGAGTGGCAAATTGAGTCATGGAAAAGAAAAAAAAATTAAAATTCATTACATAGGTATGAAACAAATTCAGACATAAAACAGTTGAACAGTTATTAATACTTTCACTGCAGCATTGTTATTGCAATGTTGCCTGACTGGGCTGGCCCATTTTGGAAGAAAATAGAAAATTTCCATTTACTGGATATAAAAATGATTATAAAAAGATGTTGATAGCAAGTGTGCATGAGTGCTACCATTTCGGTTTCAGTCAAATCTGCATTGATTTTTTTTAACATTTGCAGCGTTTTTTTAAAGCTGAAAATATTTTTAGATTGTAAGATTTTTTTTTTTTGAGATAATAACCATATACTGATAGAAGTTCTAATTAACCCATAGCTGTGGGGAGAAGAAGTGGATTTCCAATTCTGAGCTATTATCCATCACACCACCTACCCATCCAAACTTAAAGCACCTGATATTCCCAAAGTGGTCATCCATCTACAGTCTGCTTGAAATTATTATGCAAATCAAATAAATCTCAATAACTCAAAAAGTTCTGAACCAATACTTGGCAAATTTAAACATGCCCATTTCGACCCTTAGTAATATATTTAATTAAATTTTCTGCCATTTTTAATGGTTAGTTTTTGAGATAATTGGAATATATGAAAATGGACTGACAGAAGTTATTATGCAGATTAAACTTATATTAGCTTAAGACCTCTGAAATCTAATAAAAACTATTTTTTCTTTCTGCCCATAATATATGTTGAAACAGAGGTAAAGGGAAGGATTTAATAACTGCTGAAAAACAGAAAATAACAGTTATAGAGTGGAGAAATGCCCACATTGGAGATATCAAAAGTGCTTTGCTGAGATCATCGAATGATAAAGAAGGCTGTTGAAAATATAAGTTGAGAATTCAAAGCAAAAGAAAAGGCTTTTGTGATTTTATGAACAAGACTTTCTTTGCATGGTACAAGTCCCAGTCTAGCAATTTCAAAGCGAAGTGTGTATTTATGCATGACAATGCTCCTTCTCATGTATCTAAGCTTACCTGTGAATTCTTTGAGCATAAAAGATTTACAGGAGAGAAGATAATGGAATTGCCACCATCAAATCTTGATATAAATCCAATCGAAAATTTATGGTCAATTGCGAAGATGAAATTATATGAAGGTGGTAAACAATATAACAGCAAAGCAGACTTATAGGAAGCAATTAAACCTACCATGTCAGAAATTGAAGCTGTTGAAGTAAAAAATATTAACAAAATCAATGGATAATAGATTACTGGCTGTAATTGAGAAGAAGGGTTACTATATTAAAATGTAAAGGATTCAAAGACTTTTCATGTGTTTGTTATTTGTTCTATTATAGGTGTTGATAAATTTTTGATGATTTTATTAGCTTTTTATTGAAGTAAAATGTGACTATTTAGTTTTGCCTAATAATTTCAGATGGCAGTTTTTAGAATACATCAAATAACTTCAATAAAAGATTGTTACTACCTAAAATGTTAACTCAGGCTTTGTTTTGACATCTAAATTGATTGTTTAAAATTCGACAAAATCAATTGTATGCTACTATATGTCTAAACTGGATTGGCAATAGCACTAGTTCATAACAAATACTTATATATATATATATATATATATATATATATATATATATATATATATATATATATATTTGTAGTATAAACATGTAACATTTTAATATGTCACCAAAAAGAGTCCACTACATACAGATGGGCAATTTGCCCATCTATAGTGGATTATTTTGGTGACATAAGTGTTACATGCAAGCATATGGATACGCATGTTGAAAATTATGACCTTTTTGAAGCATACATTCTAACAAGTGGAAGTTTGGAAATATGACAATAGACCACTTTATCTTGATGAACTTTTTCAACTTCAATTAGATAAGTGGAGAGAATCCAATGATATGAGACAAGAACAGAGCATGAAAATATTTTTTTTGCTTACCTGGCAGCTCTCAGATACATCATGAGTTCCCCGTCGATGACACACTGTGGTCGCCAACGCAGCTCTTCCATGTGCTCGCTTTTCTCCGGCATGTCTGAGGGAGACACATCACACTTACATTCAGGAAGCCGAGCCTAGACAAAAAGGAAAAAGAAAACTCCATTAGAAAATGAAGAAACTCAACAAAGCATTTAAACCAGTAAAAATAAGATAAATAGCTAAATGAAAGTTTGATAAAGAAACCTGATAATATGAAAGAGTTAAAAAGTTAATTTTCAAAAGAACACAAGCAAAGAAGTAGCAATGAATACAGTAGACATAAAAAAAAATTGTCCAGCCCAGTGGCCAATTGAAAAAGGAAATTGGCAAATAGGATATTGACATACAACATATAAATCTCAAATACTTTCTGTAGTCGATTCATTAACTGATACTTGAAAGACCATAAAAATAATTTTGAAAGAAAGAATATAAGTGGTTTATTGTTCAACACATTGATTATAAACTTCAAAATCTTCCAAATTCTTAAACTTATCACATTAAAATATCTTCAAACAATTTTTATTGTACTTTAGATTGAATTATGATAGTCTCAGATTATGAACAAAACAAAGTGATCTCTAGTATAATCAAACCAGGTGCTGATATTAACCATTTTCAGTGTCACAAAATATGAGGAAGACAATAAAAATCACAAGAGAAAAAAGTATTTAGCATCAATTTTCAGTTAATTCTGTAGGGTAAACATTCATATTACCCTATGTGTTCTTACACCTTAAGTAGGTGTAAATTCAAACACTTTCAGAGTATCAGACAGATGACTGGCAATACAATAATAATGATAAAAGTCATAACCATAATGACAACATTGTCTAATAATAATGCAAGGATTCAAATAATATATAACAGATTTGCAGTAAAATTCTCTTAAAAAAAAAAAAAAAAAAAAAAAAAGTATGGCAGTAAACAGAAATATAAATAATTGGTCAATACACGTTTATCTAATGGAAACTGTTTATTGATGCCTAAGCTTATTCTTAACAAAAGAAGACATTAACAAAACAAGTATTGTTGCATCTGACTTGCCAGTGTTGATGATGCATTAATAATAAACTACACATTTAAGTTTCTTGACAGAAAACATCAAAGACTAATCTGGCACAAATGGATAAAATGCAGTCACAATGCTTTGTTAAAAGCAGAACAAATGATTTTAAAAGTCTGAACTGGTACAGTAAATCTCAACATGACAGTTCACATTAAAATAAGTAGTTTCCAAGCCATGAACACAGAGAAAGTCTGTTTATTCAGTTATAAAGCTAACCAGTTGAAAATGAAGCTTAGGTTTTTATCAACAAATCTTCATTGAAGATGAAAATTTACCTTGATCTCTGATTTATGACTTCAAACAAATCTACATAAACTGTTAAAATTTTAAATGACCCCATATTGTTAATACATATGACAAACTAAAAGAAAAGAAGGGCATTCGACAAACTATCACTAGATCTAAAATTGTCTCTTTAAACATGTGAGGCTTGAGACATTTATCTACTAAAAAAAAAATAAATCAAAAGAATAACCTACCCAATAATTAAAATGCAAATTATCACCGTTAAGATCATTAGATAGATTCATATACACAAAATAAAATCCTATTTAGACACTTTATGGTGAAAAAAGTCATTTCCTCTTGGATATGAATATAACAATTGAGCTTCATGTGAACATAAATTATTGAAAAGATGGCAAAAATTAAAAACAAGCAACCTACCAAATTTTTCAAGATATAATTAAAAAATTTAATAAAGTTCTAATTTAGAAAAGAGAAAAGAGAAAAGGTTTTAGTTACAAAAGCAGGAATTTGCTGTTATCCTTAACACTAATTTTTTTCCTTCATTTCTTAAACTGAGTCAGAGAAAAAAAAATTCAAATGAAATAAAGATAAAAAGGTTCACATCTGAAGAAACAATGGATCTGCAATAATAAGTCATTACATGAATACAATAACAACAAAAACCCAGAATACATTTGTTTGTTTTTTTTTCTTTTTACTTTTGATGAAATAAAGCAGTTCATGTGAAGATGTCCAAGGTGTCAGGTGAAAATGACAAAATTGGTAAAGAAAATTGGTTGAAAAGAGGAGCAAAAACTGGGAAAGACAAAGAAAAGCAAGAGAAAATGAAGCAAGGAATGCATCTGAGCTCCTTGCAAAGTGGAGAGTAAGGAAATTGGAGGTGGATGATAAACTGAGAGAAGACAGGATTGGAGAAATAGGGTCTGTCATCCCCTGGAAATGTAAAGGAGGTTTGCCGACTTACAACAGGGTTCCTAATAAGATTGGGAACAGCAACAAACTTACTTGGTATAGGAGGTAGCAAAATCCTTCTAGGGGTTCTAAGGGCATCCTCTTCAAGAGAAAACAAAACCGCAAAAATGTCTTTTATCAGGTGCATTCTGAGGGTGTTAGATGGCAATATTGGCTAATTGAAAAAAAATACTAAAAGGAACTGATTACGTTAGAATTGATGGGAATAAAATAACATAAATAAAATCCAACTTTTTTTTTTCTTTTTAAAAGAAAAATATTCATGTAAAAGAAAAACTAAGTTCTCTCACCTGGTGGCTCGTGCCAACCCGAATTTCTCCCTGAGTTGTCGCCAGCCTCTTGCTTTCAGGGTTATACCCCAAGATGTAAAAGAAAGAATCCTGGGCAGGTTTGAACTCTCTTGCAGATACAATATCTTTGAAATGTTGTACTTTACATCTGCCCCTATAAAGAAAAAGGCAAAATCAGTTTGAGAAAAATATAAAACATTAAAACAGTTGAAGGTATAAAAAGGCAGTGTCCATCAGATTTGTAAACACAAAAACTGAAAAAAATCTAGGAAAAATAAATAATTAAAAGTTTAGCTTTATTGATGACACCAGAAGCAACAAAAAGTCCAGAGAACATGTTAGCTATAAATGTTATATAAAATATACAGAGGTTGTATATTTTTTTTTTAGTCACTTTGCACAGTGATTTGATTTTTGCTCTGATGAGAAAGGACCAATAAACTGTTTTCACTGTTTTTTTTTGTTTTTTTTTTAATTGCTATTCTATTTCAGTGTTACCATTTTATGGTAATATATTTTCTTGTTACCCTCAACCCCACTTTTTTTTTTTTTGCTATAAATTGTTTTTTTTTAATATGCCTTTTATCATTCTAATATACAGAGTGTATTTGTAGATATTCTTTGTAATGCTGGTATCTTTTTGATGTACTAGAGAGAAATCCTTTGCACTGGTTATGCCTGATGGCAATGTCTTTGTTATGACAATAGTGGACACTTCTAATATATTTATGAAATTGGGCATTGAATTCCATGAACAAGTAGAGCACAACAATGATAATTGAATATATATATATATATATATATATATATATATATACACACACACACACACACACACACACACACACATTGTATTTAAATTTTTGAAGATCAAAGTTAGCTAGAGAGTTTCACAAGCAAGAAGTGTGAGAGAAGAAAACTCTTAACATAGAACTTATGGTTGTATCGAGCCAATTCAACTGTAAAATGATGAGACCTTTTTGCCAATCTAGTACTGCACTTAAATTCATAAAGTCTAGGTACTACAGTGAAAAGTTCAGCAAAACACTTATCATGAAAGTAATTATATCTTATAAATATGCAAGATAAATTCTGGAGAGAAAAATTGTTTTATATATAAGGCTCATATGAAAACCTATTACAAAAATATGCCATAATTTGTTTTTCAGTATGTATAATCAGCAAAATCATTAAAATTAGCTATGGTTCTGTAATTACTGTATTGCTGCTTTTAACTTTTCCAAAGCAAAATTAGGTTTTCAAGATAAATAGATACCAACTAAATTAATAAAACCAAAAACAACTTTGTAATGACAAGTAATTTATTTGCTAACTACATATAATCTATAATTTTCCGTTTTCACAAGCAAAACTACTATTGACGTTACATGAGTGATATTATAGATACTCAATATAATATGCAACAACTGTTTTCTTAGAGGAACTGAATTCTTTATCTACATGTCGTATGTACAAAAACAATTTCAACATAGCAAAAGAAATTAGTTTTTAATAAAGTTATCTATACTTATAATGCACATACATCAAAATTACATTAAAAAATGACAAAAAAAAAACATCAGTTAATTGCTGAAACCTACTGAAGAGTGAATTGCACAATTACAAAAAAAGTTATCCTACAAAACTTTAGTCAAGGTGCTGAATATAACATCAATGAGCAAAATAATAAATTTTATTTGTATTAATCATATATATATATATATATATATATATATATATATATATATATATATATATATATTCCAGTTGTTTCTCACTGTACAAGTTACCATGCAAGTGAACAATACATGATAGGAAATAACTGCTTATTGGGGTGTTTCATGATTTTTGTAGGAAGCCATTATTTTACATTCTATCTTCTTAAAGTGTTTATTTTCTCAGTTACACTATGAGTGTTTGTCCCTTAAAATCATTTTATATTAAAGTTGAAGAGGAAAAATTACAATACTGATAAAATTAAAAAAAACAATATAAAATGTATAACAATGGGAATAATAGATTGAAATAAGCAAACATGTCCAACTGAAAAACTTCATGTCACAGAAAATTACAAATCATTAAAAGTCAAAAAAAACTATTCAAATAACACTGTGCTCTATCAATAAATTTATTTAATATTAAAGTCTAAAACTAATTTTAAGAGCTTGCTACAGATGCATCATAAAAATTAATATTGCTGTCTAAAATCATTAAAAAGAAATTTAAAATAATCAACCAACCTTTGCAAAGTCAAAACAATACTTTGAGTATATCCTTTCAACTATTTGCAGTCATAACAAAATGCATTTCTACTTTAAACTAATCCTCCTCAACAAGGACAAACTACAACAATCACAAATAGCTGAGTGTGACCAATGTACTTGTCTCAAACAATCAACATCCTGAGCTAGAGATAAGCACATCCTCCAGATTTTAACATTTCTGCCAAACCAGGATGCAGATAAAATAGCAATTTTCCTGAGAAGCTAAAAAGCCCACCAATCACTCAAGTGACCAATAAAATCCTTCAAATAAACACTGACATTAGAATGAATAGAATCAAACAATAGAATTCTAGGTTTTAACAAAACATGCCAAAAATCTAAAAAGCAACCCAAATGATTTTATATATATATATATATATATATATAAAAGGGGTGAAACTATGAAAAAGTGTTTAAAACTTTACAGAAATTTTTTCAAAATATCAAATTTACAGAAAAATAACTTTTACGTGTTCAACTTTTATAATAATAAACTCAAGATAGTTATCAGTATTTTAAGTTTGCATAAAAGATATCACATGATGTGTGACTGTTTAATAACCGATAACTTTTACAGTTAACAGCATTTGATAAAAATTTATTTTTTCTAGAGGTCGTCAGACATCTGAAAATAGTATAATTTGAGAATATAAATGTCTGAAATTTACACAAGTAATATATTTGGATGTGAAAGTTGAAAATACATTAAAGAAACTTTTTAACAATATCCAAAAAATTTTTTCAAAAGTATAAAAAAACAGTGAACATTTCAAATTGCATAATTCTGATATATTTTTTTAAATACTTATAATCCAAACAAAATCTCTCTTCCATGACAATTTCACGCTTATAAATTTCTAAATTTTAGAAATTTAAGTAACATGAAACATATGAAAGAACAATGAAAGCAGAAACAATTAGCATATGCAGATCAATTCTTATTTATCTTGACATCAAGAATCAAAATTATCTATTATACCACAAACGTGGGTGTTGAGAACTTTTAGATATATATATAGAAGTTATTTCCTATTTCATATTATTTGAAATAAGATGCTAAAATTCATAAAAACATTGAGAAGAATAAAAAATGATTTAATAGTGTTTATTTAATTCTGGTATGTTTCTGTATGTTCTTGTATATTTGAAATTAATTAATTTATAGGGTGCGATGAGTAAATTGTTGCCATTTTATATTTTTAATTTTGTGCATGCCTGTTATTTATTTTTTTTGTCAACTACACAGTATAGTAAGGTTAGTTTGGTACTGTGAGAAAAGGAGCACCATGACACAATTCACTTCAGGGTGTCTGAGGACAGTGCAGAAGATATGGAAAGCATTGGATGAGCCTAATGGTGATTATGAAGGTATGACAGCTTGCAAAATTCATTCTGATAAGAAAAGAACTCTTGAATTTGTTGGTGATATTCAGGCTATGATTGACAATGATCCCTCCAAGTCAATCAGGTCCATAGCCAGTGACACAGCAGTGTCTGAGTTTCTTATCAGACAGTGCATGAAGACCTTCAGTAGTTCTCATATAAGATGAAAAAGGGCCAATTTTTATCCCAAGCCATGAGGCTATGAAGCTTTTGAACAAACTCAAGCATCTCCTCCAACAGAATATGCTTTGGTTTTTCTCAAATGAGAAAAATTTCTGCCAGTATAGGATAGTGAACACACAGAGCAACTGTTGGCTTGCTGTGTCCACAAAAGATGTACTGAGAGTGATGAAAACCAAATATCCAGTCAGCATCATGGTGTTTGGAGGGATCACTAGTGATGGCCATGTTATGCCTCCATTCATTTTCCCACAGGGTGTCAGATTCAACATGAAGGCCTATATCAAGTGCCTACAAGAGGTAGTGCTTCCCTGGGTCAAGAGGGTGGCTGCTGGAAGACCATATGTGGCAACAGGACTTTGCACCATGCCATACAAACAGGAGAACTCAGTCATGGCTGTCAGACAATTTCAGTGACCCCATCACCGCTTACATCTGGCCTCCTAACTCTCCAGACTGCAACTCCCTTGTTTATTATGTGTGGGGCACAGTTGAGTAAGAGACCAACAAAACTCCTTGTAACACCAAAGATGAACTAAAGGCAAGGATTATGGCAGTATTCACCAACTTAAACAAGGAGACTGTCCAGAAGAGTTGCAGGAGATTCCGAAATTGTCCGGAGGCCATGGTTGAAGCCAATGGTGATTTTATTGAATAAATTTACTCTTTAGTATTTCAAGATAGTTTTGTGTAATTTTGGTAAATTTATTTTCATTTTTGCGTAATTTGGACAACAATTTATTTATCGTACTCTGTATAGGCAATAGGTGCAACAGACAGACCAACAAAATAAAATTCACCTCATGAGGTGAGGATTACCAGTACATACAATACAAAAGCTTATAAAGACTAAAACCAGATGCAAAAACCAATAATAATAAATTTAATTGCTTAAAGCAATAACTACATTCATTTCATATCAGGTTACTAATATTGGTTGCATTTTAAACCAGAAACATAATTAGTGCTTGTTTTATATATATGGTCCATATATAAATGATTGTTCTCTAAATGTATCCACACCTCTTTCTGAATTTTCTAATTCTATCATCATCATCACTTCCTGTTCAAGTCTACTTGTTGCAACTGTACTGGTATTTCAGTTACTGATGAAACTGTTAAAGAGTTTCTTTTAAATACCTACCTTAAAGTAAGTGCCAGAAAATCTGTTGTAAAAAGAGTAAATTAATTTTGTACATGGTTTTTAATTTATAGAAGCTATCCCAATGCTAAAACTCAATAGTTAATAATGCACTGACAGATTCCTAAGCACCACACCAAAATACATATATCTGAAGTTAATTCCATATCTGGATCCCCCACTGCTCTTTCATTTATCTTATTTTTTCTTTTATCTTTATTTTTATATGCATCCCAGCCAGTAGTAAGTAGCCCGAACTCCCTCTAATCACCAGTCACATAATAGCTGGGTTCTAGCAGTGCCATGATGAGCATGGATATATGGCCCTGCAAGTACTTTCAGTGCACAAGCTGGAAACAACACTATGCTGTACTAAATAAACTTTATTTACTACAGCCCCCTCTCTCCAATAGGGGTAGATAGCTTTGACTATCATCTGGTTCACACTCCTTCCTGGTCTTTTGAACAGGAGTAGCAGTTTATCCCTTGTTTCCTGTTTAAGATTGAGTTTTCAGTTCCTTCTAATGTCTTCCTCATTCTCTTTCACTTCCAGTAGCCCCTTCCAACTCAGTGGCAATATTACTATGGGTGGGGTGAATTGATTAAAAAAAAAATTGCCTATATATAAAATTATTCCAAAGTGACTTCAGACATGTTTTTTTTTTTTTTTTTACATATGCACTTAAAACAAGCCAATAGTTAGTTATGGAGGATACACAAGTAAACAAAAATTGCATATAATAAGTAACCTAATAGATGTAAAGATATTTTTCAAATGGTTTAGCTAATTTAAAAGAAGAAAGTATTTTCCAATTTCTCTATTTCCACACCACCTCTTATATCACACACAAACAAAATTCTGGTCAGATTTTGGGAATGGTATCAGGCTTTTTAGCACTCCTCTGTATATATAGATTTAAATTTATTTAAATTCTGAATGATTAAAAACTAGCAAATGACTGCTATATGGGTCATGTATTATACAGAATAATTTCCCTTTGTATTTTCTTTTTAATACAACTTTTCTGCTGTTTCTGAACTTGCTAAGAGAAGAAAACATTTTTGGGACCATATATCTCACGATCAAAAACAGGAACTACAATACTAATGAAATGTTAAGCAAATGAATAATATTTAGCACACAAGTTCATTTTTGTTTTGCAAGTCTTCACATAAGAAATATTCTGATCAAATAATCATGGGTCTGATTGAAAAGAGAACACATTAAAAAGAAAGAAAATTTAAAACAGGTAAAGAAGACTATAAATAAGTGATGGATTGTCTTACCTTAATGTTGCAACTTGATATGTGTCACATACATCAGAGATGAATAATTCACGTGAACTGATCAAAGGATCTTTTATTGCTAGATCAGATTCTGAAAGAAGATAAGGGAAGAGTAAATTAAAATCAAATATACTTTAGTACTATTTGAAAATATATTCCACATTAAAATAGTAAATGAATAGTTTGAAGAAAATAAAAAAGTGACATTAAATAAGATTGATTGTTCTAAAGAACAATGACTGCAATGTAAGTGTATCACGGTATATAGTAATGATTGTGTTTGGACCTCATACTTCACACTTAGTTTCTAAGCAAACATTTCTAACAAAAATCTCTATTTGAAAAGGAAGATAAAGAGAAATTAGATGAAACAAAAATATTACAAAAAAAAACAACAAACAAACAAAAAAACTTAATATAGAAAACATAACTCATCTTTCTTTATTGATGAATTCTGAAAAAATTTTTTAAATAATTATTCAGAAAAGAAAAAAAATTTTTTAGCACACAGCTAATATCTGCAAGCATGCAAACATTTTCAGTTAAAAGAAAAATGTCTTTAAATTCTCATAACTTTTTCTTATTATAAACTCAAGCCCATTGCATGTAAATGATGCTCCTCTAAAGAAAAGACAAGAATCTATGACATCATAAACATTAATTCTTGAGATGGAACTTCTTAAATCTATAATTTTGCAGCAAATTATTTTGAGAAAAAGAGTACATAGGAGATTTGGATAGGAGTCAGAGTGATTGGATGAGAGGATTAAACATTTGAAAGTCATTGAACAATAGAGGCAAACAACAGATAGCTTTCTCCCTCTTTAACAAACAAGATTTATATGAAAAAAAACAAAAAAGCATTGATACTCTATCAATATTATTATTATTGGTAGCAAATGATTTATTTATTTTTTCATATTGCCCAATATGAAAATAATTTAAAAGTGAAAAATATAATTGTTCCTCTTTGTTGTAGTGAGATTGGAGTATGAGGTCAAATTTATTGGTCAGAAACCAAATGTTTCAGGTGACTTACACACACACACACACACACAGTATAAAACAAGAAGTAATATTGAATTGCTAACAGACAAACTGAAAAGAAAAAACAAACAATAGTAGAGTTAAGCTAAGGTTAGAGTATAGAGACAGTGCAAAGTGATTCTGCTAAATGCAGAATAGTTTAAAAGGAAAGTAAGAAATGGAAACAAAAGTGAATGCGTTAACAGGCAACATCTCTGATCTCTATGAAGAACAATTCCCAATAAAGATCAATAGGTGCCAGGGGCAGTGCTGAGAATGACATGGGAAGCAGCCAGGTGTACAGTTGTTGATGATGAAGATGAGGAGTAAAAGATGCATTTGTTTTTTTTTTAAATATATGAACCCTCTGAAATAGTCTTGATGTACAAAATTTGTTTATTGTCTGCCAGGACACCATAACGTCAAAACCTTTCATTTTAAATCTCATTTATGAAGAGAAAAAAAAAATGTCTTCACTAAAGGTGAAAAGGTTAATAAAAAAGAAATAAAATTTAAGAAAAATAAGGAATTCCTCTTTAATATCCCACCACAAATGTAGAAGATAATCATTTAAAGACTGATTTAACAGCCCATATATCTTGACTTGTATATAAAAAAAATACATAAAAAGTGAAACAACTTATACAAGTTCCTCAAATACAAATTAAAAAAAAAAATATATCTCATAATGACTACACTCATATTTGAAATAACAAAATTGTTGATCAAAAAAGCAAAAATGGATTACTGATGATATTAGATGAGAAAAAAAATGGATTTAAGATTTACTGATATTTTGTAAAAAATCTAAATGGTTTGTAAGGAAATATTTAATGCAAATATTAAAAAAAAAAAAAAAAAAAAAAAAAGAGTTTTGTTTGAAAACAACTAATGTTTGCAGATGACACTAAATGGCATCACAGAGTCACATGTGGACCATATAGAAATACAGGATAACTTTATCAAATGAATGGTCATTACATTTTCGTGATAGATTGAGTCATTTTCTATCAACCCTTTGCAAGTTATTTAAAGCTAGAAAATATTTTTAGATTGTAAGAATTTTGTTTGTTATAAATAACAGTTTAGAGATACAAGTCTTTCTAATTAACTCATAGCTGGGGGGAAGGGTATTTGTGTGTAAATGAATACAATGAACACAATGGGAATTGGAACTCGGCTTTCTTTCTTTTTATATGAAAATAAATATAAAGTATAATATGCAGCAAATAGAAATCCATAATATGACTACAGTATAAAATATAATGATATTAAATATTGTAAATAATGAAAAGTACCTTCATATTAATTATTGAGAAATTGTTATTTTCTCAGCATAGTGTCATCGCTATCACTATGGTCAACAATGTATTTCTGGATATTGACAAGGATTCTTTTCTAGTATCATATAAATTGGTGTATATATTTTGAGTAATTTATACAGGCATAGTCAACATATTCAGAAAGTAATAGAAATCTGATGATTGAAAATGATTAGAGAAATGCAACTTGAATTTCAGAAAATGAGTTATAGGAACAGGCTGAACGAATTAAATTTAATGACATCAGCAAGTAGGTGAGTCTGCAATAACTTAATAAAAATGTTTAAAATTATGTGTGGTTTTCAATCAGTCGACTGTAACATGTTATTTACTTGAAGGTACAGTAACTTCAGAGGTCATTAACATATTGTTGAAGTAAACAGATGTAGATTAAATAGGAGAAATTTCTTTAGTAATTGAGTTGAAGGTTTGTTGAATAGTTTGCCAGTGTATCTGATTCTTTATCCTGATATATATACTTTTTAGAATTTTAATAATTCTTGTGATACAAAACAAGTGAGTAATAGCTTTAAAAAAAAAAACAAAGTACATCTGTATTATTGTATACTTTTTCACATTAATAAATGGATTATATATGTATATTAAAGAGATTCCAAATACTCAGTCCAAATCATATTTACAATAGATATTCACAAATAATTTGAATAGAAAAACAAAAAATGATTTTGATGGAATTATTGTAAAGCTTAATATTGTATAAATACAAAAGCAATGATCAGATTTTATTTGTTTTAATAAAGTAGTCCAAAATTTAATGTCTGTAGTGAACACTAAGGGGAAAAATACAGCTGTCCACAATGAAGATTTTACTAGGAAAATAATTAATATTGCTGAAAGGATTCAGGAAGGAAGTGGAATGTATTCCCACCAGCCATAATAATTGTAAATGCTCAGCTTACAAAAGGAAAAAATGATATTGAAAGAGATAACAGAGGCAGTGGAGTCTGAAACATCTTGATGGCCATGATGACATTTTGAACTGTTTGTAATCTCCATTTGTTGTCAAGGCAGACTGGCACTGAGCCAGAAAGAAGCAAAGAAGGAAATGTTACTCAAACTTGCTTGTCAAAATAAACCAGTTAATAGTGGCAAACTAAGTAAGGAGCAACATTGTATCAATAGGCAAATAACCTGAATAATCAATGTAAGCTTCAATTGTATCCCAGTAGAGGAACTATGGTTTATTTCTTATTGACTCCTGTAATTTATAGTATTTTATCAATGATGTTGTATCATGTATTAAAAATGTCAATCAATTAAGCTGACCTTCAGAAAATAGAAATAATTGTACAGATATTTTCATTGTAGATTTTCACATTTTCCCCATTCAGAATCAACAGTTCATTCATAATATCAAAAGGAAAGAAGATTGACAGAATTAGAATAAAAATCACACAATTAACAGGCAGAATTATATAAAGGAGAATTAGAAAAAATTGTAAGAAATCAATAAAAAAATAGGTTTTTAAACAACAAAAAAGATTTCTATTTGATTTATGACAGTATAAAATAAAAATACTAATTATTTAAAAATTATATAACAACTTTATGTTACATAAAGTCTTCATATGGAAATTTCTTTAAAAGATTATTAGAAACCTTTGAGGTAACATTTTTTAAGATTCTTATAATGACTAATAGAAATTAAATTATGTTCATGATGAATGCTATCTTAAAGACAAAATTGGTGCAATACTATTAATACAGAACTTTCAAAGAATAAAGAAATTTTTAAAGAGATCTTGTGAAAAAAGTGATAATGACAAATCACTTTGGATTCATTCCATAATAATTTCTTAATTGCTTGTTGCTATTTTGACTTCTGTGTTACCAAGCTTTTGCAGTTATTTTTCATACTACAACAATAATGTAATGTGTTCATAACTGGTATTCCATGAAGATAACTGTTTAAAAGATGAGAAAAAGGCAAATGAAAGGAGGTCAGATTAGGCATAAGGAAGGCCATCATGTTCAAAAGAGGGTGGAAACAAGACAAAGTGTACCTCCTCATTCACATATGACTGACCTTATTAGCACTGGGACAGGTTATTATTCTTGCCAGGGATCCCATCAACAGCCTAGCAGGTGGCCCTGGTCCCATTCCATATTGGCTGCCATTACATAAGTGACATTTGGAAAGGAAACCTATTACTATTTCAACCAAAAGGAGGGCAGGATGCTAAATATGCCAGCAGTTTGCAGTGTGGAGATGAAGTGTCATGAGTCAGGCTAGTCACATACAGATCAGAGGTTGTGGGCGCACATAACTAGAGAGAAATTATCAAGAGCTATAACAAAAGGTTACCTATGTCCACCATAATGGAAGGAGATAGACTACCCATTAACTTAACAAATAGCAATGGCTCCCAGAAAGGATTCTGAGATATGCAATGAAGGAAACAATAGCACATGTAGTAATCAAGAAAAAAAAAGAAAAACCAAAGGAAAAATACAGCAATTACATTAACAAAGATAATATTAGAGCTTCTTAAAAGTGAGGAAGACTGAAAGAAAATAATCCCATTTTTAAATAAATGATGCAATATATAAGTGGAGAAAACAAAAATATACTAAATACATTGCTTTTCATGGAGAAAAAATAAACAGAAACAAGCTTTATCAAAACTCAAAGAGGCAACTATTAAACCCAGTGAATTTATTTATAGTTATTTGTAAATAAATAGGGAAAGCCATTGAATAAACAGTATTTAATATATCTGAA